TTGTTAAATTTGCTAAAAATTCTGTCTCTCTATCCATGAGGTGCATTTATTTGTAGTTTTATTGGGGGGGGGGTTGTTTTTTTGTAATATCCAGTTTGAGCATTGAGCTAATTAATACTATTCTCAGTATGAATGGGAAGGGTTTCCTCCTCTGTTATCTCTTAAGTTGTATGTAGATGATAGTTTTTCCTTATATTTAGTGACTTCACCAGTGCAATCACCTGGGCACAGAGTTTTCATTGTGAGATGTTGTAAACTACAGATGCAATTTGATTAATAGATAGGGCCTGAGTTTTAGTATTGTGGTTTTTAGAAAATTTTCTGTTTCCCTTAAAAAGTCAGATATACTGACATAAAGTTATTTGTCATATTCCCTTTTTAAAATTATTTTTTAAAAAATTGTTCATGATGATTTGTTATAGACATTGAATATCCCAACACCAATTCTACCACCATTGCACCGTCTCAGCACCATTTTTTTTTTTTGGGTCACACCCGGCGATGCACAGGGGTTACTCCTGGATCTGCGCTCAGGACTTATCCCTGGTGGTGCTCAGGGGACCATATGGGATGCTGGGAATTGAACCCGGGTCTGCCGCGTGCAAGGCAAATGCCCTACCTGCTGTGCTATTGCTCCAGCCCCAGCACCATTATTTTTAATTTTCCCAACCAGCCCTTAAGCCTGCCCCCATGGAGGCCCTCAACAATTTATTTTATATTGCTTGTTATCAATAATTTGGTAAATGATTAAAAAAAATGTTTCCTTAGAAGAAAGTTAGTGAAGTCTGTTGTATCTCACAATCATCCAGACATATCTCAGCATTGGATTCATTAAGCCCTCGTATAAGAGATTACTAAGATGTTGTTGTAGGTTAAGACCTTTGTGTTTATATTTGGTTAATCAAGATTTTTTGGCTTCTAAATTTCATACCCTCCAATCTAGTATGCTATTCCTGGTTTATCAGAGTTGTAGAATAAGAAATGTCGCGTGGCCACATGGCCAAGCGCCAGAGGAAGTCTAAAATTTTTAATGGAGTAATACAGCTGGAGTTAAATTTTTAATTGGGTGGCAGCTTTGGGGCATGTTTGTGACTGCCGGGGCTTCTGAAAAATATGGGGAAAATAACCCATCCCTGACTCTAGGAAAGCACGGAGATTTCAGTCGCAAAACCTGCATACCTGAGTTTTTCCACAGATAGTTTCTGGATGAGGCTGGTGCCAGCCGGGAACATGGTGGTGATTCTGGAGTGTGGAGGTTTTCAGCTCTGTTTGGTGTGGGTATGTTGCTCACTTGTGCCCCCCTCCCGGGTGCCCCAGGTAACTCAGCCTTTCGCGGGGTCGAAAAGAATCTCTGCAACTTGTTCATCTCTTACGAGATTTACTTATGAATTTCTGGATCGTGGACAGTGAATGAGCTCACTTGGCATTGGAGATGGTTCATCTGTTTGTTATATTTCTTTGTTACTCTTTCAAAGACTAATATCTATACTGACATCTCCTCTCTGTCCTATTTTGGTTATTTATGGCTTCTTTTATTCTGAAAAACTAAGGGATTATCAGTTTTGTTGATCTTAAAGGAACAATTCTGGTTTCACTCATTTTTCTACTTTTTTTAGGTTATTGAATAGAGCTCAGTCTTTTTTCCGCTGAATATAGTATAAGTTCAATTTTATTTTCCTTTGTGGATACTTTTTTAAGATGAAACTAACCACAAATTTGAGATCACTTTAAATAGTTATTTAGTTCCATGTTTCTACTGTTTAGCTTGTACTGTCAATATTCTCTAGGGTTTTTTTTTTTTTAACTTTTTTATTTTTTTGCTTTTTGGGTCACACCCGGTGATGCCCAGGGGTTACTCCTGGCTCATACACTCAGGAATCACTCCTGGCAGTGCTCGGGGGACCATATGGGATGCTGGGAATCGAACCTGTGTCGGCCATGTTGGCTGTGTGCAAGGCAAATGCCCTACCCTTTGTGCTATCGCTCCAGCCCCCAGTTTTTTTTTAATGTAGGAGTACTGCTGTTTATTCAGCCACTGATTAGCTGATTAAATTGGGCATGAACTCCACCTTTTTTTTTCATAATTTCATTTTTTTCTTATATTTTATTTATTGAATCACTGTGGGAAAAGTTACTAAGCTTTCAGGTTTGTCTCGGTCATACAATGATCAAACACCTTTCCCTTCACCAGTACTCATTTTTCACCACCAAGAACCCCCCTCCCACCCTTCCCAATGCCTGTGAGGCAGATGATTTCTACTTAACTCTTCTCTACATTGATTACATTCATTATTTTGACAAAAGATGCACCATTATTGTTTAGAAACCCCCCCCCCCCCCAATCAGAATTGCTGAAAAGGCATTGTGAGATACTTTGTTTTCTATTGCTGGTTATGAGAATCATATAATCATATAATGATTTTGAATTTCTGCAAAGAGCCGGATAATTACGGTATTGGTTTCTGTATGTCTGGTGTTATGGCTGTGCCAGAGAGCCGCTCATGGGGGGCAACTCGTGACCTCGTTAGGGTGTGAAGGATGAGCCCGTACCGCCCCCCTTCCCATGAGACTGCAGTTGCCCCGTCACCGCTGGCTCATACCTAGCTTTCCTAGAAGCTCTGAGGCGGCAGCCACCTTGCTGCCAGGTGGGAAAAAGGCGGAAGGAAGCAAGACCCTTTCTCTCCCGGGGAGGCATGGCGCCGTAGTTTAAAGCATGACCCATTCACTTTTCTGCCACAAGCTGCCAGGCTGTGGATTAAGTCCTTTTGCCTCTGGAGCCATGGCCATGCCAGAGAGCCACTCGTGGGGGGCAACTCATGACCTCGGTAGGGTGTGAAGGACAAGCCGGTATCGCCACCCCTTCCCATGAGACTGCAGTTGCCCCGTCACCGCCGGCTCATACCTGGCTTTCCAATAAGCTCTGAGGTGGCGGCCACCTTGTGTGTGGTTCAGATGCATTTCTGCCGCTGGGTTTCAAGATTTGTTTCTGAGTCTCTGGGATGATGGCCGTTTAACAGCTTGATCAGGAGCCAGAGAGGCCGTTTGTGGGTGATGGCTTGGGGTCTCGTTGGGGTGGGGAGGACAGGACAGGCTCCATCACCATTCCATGAGGCCCCACGTGTCTTGTCACTGTGGGCCCAAACCTGACTGTCCAGTGGCCTCTGGAGGATGGTGGTCACCAGGCCGCCAGGGGGAACAGGCCAAGGCATGAAACCTATTCCCATCTGGAGTGGCCCAGCACCAGTAACCTACTGCAGAACAGGACACATTTCTGCCAAAAGCCTTTGGATTCTGAGATTCATTTGAGTCTCTGGGATTATGGCCGTTAAGCAGCTTGATTAGGAACCAAGAGGGGCCATGCCTCCAATGATATAGCTGAGCTGGAGGTGGTTTGTGGGTGTGTCTCCCACATACCTAACTTTTGCCGTTCACTTTCTTGGTAAACTTTGCCCCAAGTTTTTGGGGTCTGGCCAAAGGCACAGCAGCAATTTTGGGGTATCTGAAAGCCTGACGGTGCCATCAGGCTGCTGATGCACTCACCTCACAGGTACAGATTGACCTGCTGGCAGCACCATACCCCCCAATATTCTGTAGTTTTAAGAAAAATTTGTAAATGGAATATTTCATCTAGACACATTTTTTTTTTATGGAAGTGATTGGTTTTATTGGAGTCAGTGAATATTAGATAGGAGACAACTCTGTCATGGTGACAATTTTAAAATCAAGCTGCATACCAGGCAGTGTCATTGTTTCAGTGTTACAGTCCTCTTACACCATTGCAAAGTACATGGACACATCTGTTTGCTTATTTTGTAGTAAATTAGCATCATGTTTGTTTAAAAGTTTTTTCTTTGGGGCCAGAGAGATATACACTTGGCTACCCCCAGTTCTGTCTGTTGCACCACATGCGGTTCTCCAAGTACCACCAGGAGGTACCCCTAAGTACAGCACCAGAGTAAGACTTGAGCACCCCACAAAGTAGATCAGTAAAAAGGATAGAAACAATAAAAGGGTTTTGTTCTTTTTAATTCCTTGCTATATGATTGGTAGATAGTAAAAACCACAGTGTTTCCTTTTAATTCTTTTTTTTCCATTGAATATTGAATCACCATGAGATAGACTATCACAAAGCTATTGATGATTGGGTTTCAATCATATAATGTTCTGACACCCGTTTCTCCACCAGTAGCCCAGCCACCAATCTCCTTATTCCGCCCCCCCTCGCCTCCACATCCTCCCCCAACACACATACCTGCCTCTATTGCAGGCACCTTTCTTTTTTCTATCTCTCTCTTCTGTGCATTATGGTTTACAATAAGGTACTAAGAGGTCATCTTGTTTGTCCAGGGAGTTCCATATTTTTATTGGGAAGGTACAGCTGGAGCAAGCTTTTTAAAATTGGGTGGCGACTTTGGGGTGTGGATATGACTACCAAGGCGCCCAGAAGTACAGGGAGGTAGGAGGAGGTAGCTCATACCAGGTCCGAGAAAGCCTGAAGATTTCAGTCACAAAAACTGCATACCCAAATTTTCAGCAGGTTAATATCTTGGCGAGTCCGTCCTGAGACAGTGGAATGTGGCCAGGAGCATGGTGGTGATTTTGGATTATGGGAGCAAGTGGCTGCAGGGGGCCCTGTTTGGGCAGGTGCTGGACTAACCTGCCCCACCTCCAGGGTGCCCTGGCTATTCACCCTTTCACGGGTCCAAGCTTAACTTCAGCTTTTGATCTCTTTGAGATTTATTTATGAGTCTCTGAAGCAAGGTTGATAAATGAGCTTGTATGGCTGAGCCAGAGGTGGAGTGTGTGCTTGGCTCCCACATGTACCTAACAGTGACTCAATAAATATTAAATTTTTTAAAATTAAAATAAATAAAATTTTGCGGAAGTTACTGCTAGCAAGCTATTATATTTCTTATACCGTACTATGTGGCATAACTCATTTTTTGGTTTAACTGCTTTCTCTTTTCTTTCTGCCCATTTTAAATGACTGTGTTTTGCAGGAGAGTCTTATTGATGCAAGTGAAGACAGCCAGCTAGAAGCAGCAATCAGAGCCTCCTTACAAGAGACACATTTTGATTCAACACAGACAAAACAGGATAGCCGCTCAGATGAAGAATCTGAATCTGAACTTTTTTCTGGCAGTGAGGAGTTTATATCCGTTTGTGGTTCTGATGAAGAAGAAGAGGAGGTTGAGAATCTTGCCAAATCCCGAAAGTCTCCCCACAAAGATTTTGGGCATAGGAAAGAGGAAACCCGAAGGCCCCTCACAGAGCCCCCAACTGGAACTGAGTCTGGAACAGCCACGAACCACCAAGGATTGCCAGCTGTGGATTCAGAAATATTAGAGATGTCACCTGAAAAGTCACACGGGGTATTAGAAGGCAAAGATGTAAATGGTGAGTGTATCCTAGACTTGTTTTACTTTAAAAATTAAGGAATCTGTTTATTTAAATTGATTATTCTTTATATATTTTTTTCTACTACCATTGTTTTTTAGGACCAAAAGCACAGCTGATGTTGCGATACCCAGATGGGAAAAGGGAACAGATAACTCTTCCAGAGCAAGCCAAACTCCTAGTAAGTATATCTTAATGGAGGTGTTTGCCCCAAAGAGAGACTGGATAATTGAAGTTAGTCTGTTGAGGATTGCTTGATGATTTTTTAAAATGTTAGGTATTAGGAATTTAATTTGCCCAATAAATGGAAATGTAACTGATGAATCTTAATTCTGTTTTCTTCTGGAGCCATCTTAGGCAAATCATATAGGACCTATCCTTTCTTATGTTAAGATTGCCTAGAATAGAAACCCATCTGATGTAATTACCTGGAAAGGGAAATTGTGGTTATATATAGACTATAATGGAACTTCTGGATTTCTTAGTAGTTGAAACTACAAAGTGGTTAATAACTGACTTTATTATCCTGGAGCAATAGCACAGCGGTAGGGCGTTTGCCTTACAAGCGGCCAACATGGCCGACCCGAGTTCGATTCCTCCGCCCCTCTCGGAGAGCCCGGCAAGCTACCGAGAGTATTCGATATGCCAGACACAGTAACAACAAAGTCTCCAATGGAGATGTTACTGGGCCCGCTCGAGCAAATCGACGATCAACGGGAGGGCCTTTACCTTTACCTTATTATCCTTATTTCTCTCACAAGACATGTTTGGTTTTTTTCCCTTGTATCTATTTCACATCATTCTTCTTTGTGTATAGTGTTTTGGGTTTGTTTGGGGAGTTGTTTGATTTTTGCTCAGCTTGTACCTGGTTCACCCTGTTGATGCTGAGGCCTTTTCCCATGGTTGTTGGGCCTTCTTTTTGTTCCTCAACTACTGGGAAAGAGAATGATAATGACTAGTTTCACCTAGGCTATAAAATAATCGTCCTTGGGGCAAGGGCCCATACCTGTTCATTTGCTGCGCCTGGAGATAACTGATGCTGAGTCTTGAAGACTGTGTGACTAGAATATAACAGGTTGTCACTGCAGTGCTGATATTCAGACAACATCCTGATGTAGTATTGGGAAGGAAATGGAAGATATAGAGCAAGTTTAGCTCTTGTTATTGAGATCTTTGCCTGTGAAGCTAGAGGAAGGAGTGAGTAACTTGTATTCAGAGAGGAAAAGTTATTAAGGGAAGCATCTGTGAAGCAGCACACATTAAGGATACCTTTAAAAGAGGATGAATGGTAAGTGACATGATTTCTTAGCTAAAAAGGGATTCCATGAACAACTGGCAAGATTGACTGTGGGTGGAATAAAAGACATACCTTCACTGATGAAAAGGTTTTTGAAAAAGCTGGAAAGATAGTATAGGGGTGAAGGCACTTACCTTGCGTATTGCTGATCCTGTTCAACCCCTAGGATTGTGGTCCTCCACACCACTGGAAGCACAGTGCCTAATGTGGCCTAATACTCCCCCACAACCAGAAGAAAAGATGCAAAACTAATAAAATGTTTTTAAATGAGTTATTTCATAGGAAGTAATTCAGCTAATTTGTAGCTGCAGTAGTAATCAGTCTGTATATTTTAGTAGCACTTAATGGCCATAAATTTTTGGATACATTGGCCAGAAAGAGATTTCAGGATGTAAGGCTCTTGCTTAGCATGTAACCAATCCTGGTTCAGTCCCCTAGGTATTATAAAAGGTAAAGGTAAAGGCCCTCCCGTTGATCGTCGATTTGCTCGAGCGGGCCCAGTAACGTCTCCATTGGAGACTTTGTTGTTACTGTGTCTGGCATATCGAATACTCTCGGTAGCTTGCCGGGCTCTCCGAGAGGGGCGGAGGAATCGAACTCGGGTCGGCCATGTTGGCCGCATGTAAGGCGAACGCCCTACCCGCTGTGCTATCGCTCCAGCCCTAGGTATTATAGCCAAGGATTATTTCTGAGCACAGAGCTAGGAATACGCCCTAAAAACAGCCAGTCGTGGCCCCAGCTCCTCTTCACAGACTTTGTCTCCCCTTCATAGGGGGATGGTTCTATTATTCCTTTTACAGGAGTAGTAAGCTTTGATTATTTGAAGCTAATTTTCTGTTTGGTAGGATAAAAATGCGTGTTGGAGTCAGAGAATGCATCAGGTAAGATAAAATTACCTTACACGCAGCAAATCTGGGTTCAATTCTGGGCACCATATATGGTCCCCAGGGCACGGTGCCAAGAGTGATCTTTGAGCACAGGCAGGAGTAAACCCTCTGCACTGGTAGATGTGGACACACACAGGTAGGGGTGTGTGTGTGTGTTTCCTTCAGTTGCTCATTTATTTCCATCTAATGTTTTTGTCTTTCTTCTAATTCTTATAGGCTTTGGTGAAGCATGTCCAGTCTAAAGGATACCCAAATGAACGTTTTGAACTTCTCACCAACTTCCCACGAAGGAAACTCTCTCATCTTGATTATGACATTACGTTACAAGAAGCAGGCCTTTGTCCTCAAGAGACTGTCTTTGTACAGGAAAGAAATTAACACCATGGCCTGACCTCTCTCAGCCTACCCCTTTTTTCCCTTTTCCTGTGAGATACTATGTCAATAGTACACATTTTTGGCTCATAGCATCATAGAGCCAAAGTTGGGCAAGCAAGTCACCTACCTTCTCTTTTATTTCTTATTCTCTCCTTCAGTCCGTCTTCCCCTTGCCCCTATTTTCTTTCCCAAATTTTCTTATTTTTCCTACTTTTCTCTTCCTTACCTTATCTTATGACCAAATGGAAGCTTAAGGAAAAAACCTCCTCATACTGGCAGCAGGAAATGTTTGTTCCAATAAGTGGTCTCTTGCACTCTTTTTGGGGATCAAGTGGTATTACTCCTCAGAGTCCTTTGGTGAAAGAATGGCTAGAGTTGGAATAAGAGCAGCCTCCCATTTTTGTAAGCCCAATTTTTAGTAGTGAGAAATTCTCTGACACACCTGTTGTTGTTAATATAGGAATATCAAGTAACAAAATATTTGTGCTTTTGTTTACATGAAAAAAGTATCTCTTAAAATTATTGCTTATCATATTTAAATTATTTTCAGAGGATTCTCATCGTCCCCACTAAAATTATATCTGTGTTGTATATTCTTGACAAAATAAGTGATAAATGTAGAATAGCATAGGGTGGCTTTCAGTACCCTAGCCTGAGACAGTTTCCTTCATTGTTATTCTGTAAGCTGTATTGATCCTGCTAGTCCTAAGAAGGACATTTAATGATCATATTTTGGTGACTGTAACTGGAAGGTTCTTGCTGTTTTTGCCAGTATAGCATATTTTGTTTGGTCCTTCCATTATTTGGGTCCACAAGTGATCTATAGAAAGGCAGCTAGTCAATAATCATGCAGTACAATAGCTTGTAGTTTTAACTACTGTGATTATTGATTGTCTTTTAAAGTATATGAACGTATGTCTCAGGTGGTGGGGGGAGGGGGAATTTACAACTGAGAGTTGCTAACCATGTTCCTTTGGTTAGAAGTAACTATTTTTTTTTTTAAACCCCTGGTTGGAACAGTCTTTAAAAGTCTCTGACTAAATAATCCTAATTCCTCATGCTGTTTTCTTACAGAGAGTGTAAAACTGAAAGCCTCTCCAAATAAAGGGAAGAACTTTATATAAATTCATAAAACAGCATTTAGAAGGAAGGTGGGGAAGATTACCAATAATCTGTAGATGTGAATTTTTTCTGCAAACAAAACCACATTCAAATTGTAGTTGGTAAAAACTTTTTCAGTATTAGAAGAGATCATCTTGCGCTTGCATAGTACTATTCTGCTTATCAGTTTTACTGTTATGCTGAATTCTTACCTTACTTTGAGCTCTAAGTAGAATAATCTGAGTGGAGTAGTCTTGATTCTGGTGGCAAAATCAGTATCTCAGAATCTTATTATAAAACTGTAATGGAAATGTAAATGTCTTGTTAATGGAGGTTTATGATTGATTTTTCTACTTGAGGAACATAATCACTATTGCTCAGAGACCTTTAAGTTTCCAGGTTCCGATCAACATTAAGAACACTCTTTTGGCAAGTAGGGGGTATTAAAAAGTGTTTATGTGTTGTTCCAGTACACAAATAGAGAATATGGTTCTGAATAGTTGGATTTTGAGGCACCCTCCCTAAAGAATAAGTTATGTATCTCCTCAAGGAAATCATGGAAAATTCTGTTTATTCTTCAGTGAGTCCTTTGAATTAATGTTCTTACATTTTTTTCCCCAAGTCTGTGTAAGTACCTATGTATAAGTATATAATTGTATAAATATTTATAAATATATTTATATAATTACAGTTTCATTTATACTTGAGTCAAAGTTCTCTCTTTAGATTTGTGACTAAGTAATACCACTTTGGTGTTTTTTCATAGGCTCTCAAAAATTAACAGCTTCTGGTTTATTGAGGAAACATGGTTTTCATATTAATTCCTCATTATTATCTCTGAACTTGAATAATATACTTGCTGTCTGAGGAATGGAGCTGTTTGCTATCAAAGGTATGTTAAAGGATAAAAAATCTTGGTAATAGACAAGGTTAGAAATCTAAAATTTACAGGAGGCGTAGGGTAAGAAATGAATATGTGCCCAGCTTTGGTGCTGTAATGGTACCCATCTCCAGTCCCAGCAAAGTCACAGCTAAAACCCAAATTTATCAAAACTGTAAAGGCGATTTTACTTTCAGGACTCTGTTTCATTCTTTTACCTAATAGTTTCTCTTTATTGAACATATTTAGAGAATCTGAGATGTGTTCATTAATGACAGAGTATTTCTTCTCTATATGCTCAGTTCTGGCATGTCCAACTACAAGAAACCAAAGTGACTTTTTCAACTTAGATTACTGTGGGATGGTGAAGTATATGTAAGATGATTTAAGTGAGCTCTCTGTAAGAGATATGGAGATAATGCTTGAGATACTTATCCAACTTAAGTATAATTGGACTATTTAGAGTAAAAATGTAGAGTATCTTATTTTGAGGTAGGAGTGTAATTATCCTGAGCTTGATATTATAGAAGCCCTTGGGAGAAGAATTATTTATTGTAAATGGAAGAATAAATGAGTATTGCTTTACTCCAGAACTTCATCCATTTAAGGAATATTCATCCTTCAGTTTGTCTTATGTTCTCTGGAGATTTCTCTGCAGAGTAGCTTAAGTTTAAAGTAGTCATTGTATTGGAAACAGTTTGAAAGATTAAAAAATAGGGAGGAAAAGAACAGGATAGATTATAAGACAGATATAGGGAAATTAAAAACTACTGGGGTAAAGTGACAGGAAACCTCTTTTGAATTTGATTTAGGAAGGGACCAGAAAAGAGAGAGAACAACCAAATGAGAAAATAACAGCAGTCTTGAGTGATTAGCCTATAACTGGGTTCTTGGGGACATTTTATATTTTAACCTGCAGAATTACAAAAATGAGTTTTTTCCCCATTTTTCTGGATAAGAAAATTGAAGTTCAGAAAGCCAATTTAGAACGACTCACTTGGTACCCATTTTATTTTACTCCAGTGCCGTAGTCTCCCACAAAGGGAATTAATTTGCCCGAAATGTTTGTTTCTATTTTTCATTTGATTTTGTTTTCTTAAAGCTGTGGGATTTGCACCATGCCTTTACATTCCTATTTACATTATGTTTTAGTGACTGGTTATTGATTACTGTTAAAAACAAATGTACTGATGAAAAGATGAGAAAAAAAATAGCTATGTAACCAAGGGTAATATAGGGTGAAAATGAATAAGGATTTTCTTTCTTAATTTTTAGAAAAGATATGACTATCTAAAAGATATGGCTATCATCCATACCAGCCATATTATTGAACCTTCTTTGTATACTTTTAAATCTTGCTTATAATTCTACTTCTTTGTAAGTCAAAAAATTATTTATTGAGTTGTTTGTCAAAGTTGTAAAATCTTGATCTAGTTCTCCCTGTTTAATACAGTTGGTGAGCTATACTATGAGATCATTGGGGAGTATGTGAACATTTACCTTTCTGGAACTGAAGTGTAAAGATTAGAATGGGAAGGTATAGAGTTCAGTTTGGGAAGTCTTCACATAAAAATAAAACTGGAAAGTGGTAACAGTATAGCTCAAATTCTCTGTGACTCACCTTGAACAACTTTCAGATTTGATGTTTATTATGTAAGGCATACCCAGGTACCCATTCAGAAAGGTTATTAACCCCAGAACTGAAAATTGTAGCTAGCATAATCTCACTTGGACTCTTCAAAAAAAAAAAAAAACAGAGGGAGTTACTAATTAACTGAGAAGGGAAGGAAAGATTTTATTTCTCTACCCAGGAAAAATTTACATACAGAGTATATATATGATATGCAGAAGGGGCACTGTATATAGGTATAAGTCTAATAGCTCTGCTATCATTTCAGAATTGACTAAATAACTTAAAACTGTTAAGCAACTTATTGTTTTAAAATTTGGCTGTGGTGGGAAATTGTGAGGTTAAGAATATCATTAATACCATAGAAAAAATGTAAATATGCCTCTGGAATTGCAGGCCCTTACAGAAACTCCAGGAACCCGTGATACAAACCATTAAATCAGACTTATCTTTTGAAGTCCTTTCCACTCCAAAATTTCATGCATCTACTCTTTTATTTTAAAATACCCCTAAAATTTTAAATATACTAACTAGCTTCTTTGCCATTTTTCTGTGTCTGGGTCTCATTTGTCACATAATTTTTATCTGACTTCATCATGGTGCTGTAATCTCAAAGAAAGAGTGTATAGTAATAGTTTTAGAACTAGTAAGTATCATTTAAGTATAGTTCACTAATTCTAAAAATGTAATGCTGTGATTTAAATTAGTGTGGAGTGACCAAAAACTAATTAATGAGAAATAGTTCACTGACACCAGAGTTAACTTTCATTTTAATTGTGTTTTTAAAACATTGTATTGGCTGAGCAATTATTAGGAAACTGATCTGTGAAAATTACAACATCTGTACTTGATTTTAACAGAAACAGCAATAATCCCATTGGTTGACTTCTAAAAATGTTCCATATCCCATGAAGTGCATCTCTTGCTCTCGCTCCTTCTCTCTAGCTCCCTCCCTTCGCCCCCACCCTGCCTTCCTCCTTCCCCTGCTCTTTCAGTTTTTCAGGTTCTCTTTCTTTCAACTCAGAAATAATTAATTACTCGAATTATAGGATGTAAGTTGATAGTAACAAACTTCTGTATAAAACAAAATGGGAATAGGAAAAACCATCCCTTTGATCAACATAGCAATTTTCCAATAATACAAACCTTAATGGAAAAGGCTAATTGAATACAGCTGTGTGTGAATTTTTTTTTTTTTGCCTTGCCTTGTTTAGCATTTGTTTTTTTTTTTTGTTGTTTGTTTTGTTTTGCTTTTTGGGTGACACCCAGCAATGCACAGGTGTTACTCCTGGCTCTGCACTCAGGAATTACTCCTGGCAGTGCTCAGGGGACCATATGGGATGCTGGGAATCGAACCTGGGTTGGCCGTGTGCATGGCAAATGCCCTACCCGCTGTGCTATCATTCCAGCCCCTAGCATTTGTTGTTTTGCCATGAAACTTAGTATTCCATTGTACATGTTTTAGAATAATAACAATGTTTTATCAATACTAAAATTATCACTAGAAAATATCGAGTCAGTGCACAGAGTTCTCTTGTATAAAAGTTTGTCATTTCAACAATGATTATTTTGCTCTTTGACTTCCCTGTGTGAATCCTGCTAGAGAGACAACTTTAGAATCTATTTGTTTTTGTTTTCTTTTTTGAAAAAGAAGTTATCATGATCTTAGTAGCTTTCCCGTGAAATCAGCTGATGCCAAATTAAGATATAATGTTGAGACACTTAAGTAGAAAATCTTTTCAATCTACTTTATCTTGCAGTGGTTTTTTTTTTTCTGTTGTCTTTGACAGTCTGAAAGTTTTATCAGAAAATTAGTCTGTTTTCAATGAAATTGACTATGTTTAGGAATTCCTTTTCTAAGTGTCATTAAGGGAAATTTTTATTTAGACATCATTTTTATAGGCGTATTCTCTTGGAATCCTCTTATATCAAGTAAAGAATAGCAAGCTCCATGGTACTTCTCTCTCCCCATCCTTTTCAGCCACTAACTTCATTGTATTGCTTAGAATCTCAGTGATTCTCATCAACATGATCACTTTTGGTACAGACCTTTTTTTGCCATATGACCTCAAGGTAAAGTTGGGTAGTCCAGCATGAACTGTAGTTAAAACAATTTAGCGTTTCTGTAAAATATTTTCACAGGGTAACCAGACTTACTTGTAGGGTTAGAGATACAAATTCCAGTGGTATTTTCCTTAAGAATAACCATATGTATAAAAATGAGAAGTTACATTTTAATTTTGTGTCAATGACAGGTCTTTTGATTTTCTTAGAATTTCTTTTATAGAGATCAAAATACCCTAGAAGGGACCAGAGAGATATACAGTGGGTAAAGGGTTTGCCATGCATGTGATAGCTCTATGTTTGATCTGGGCACTACAAAAGTGATCTTTGAACCCTGCAGTAAGCCCTGAGCACAGTCAATGTGGCCCAAAAACAAAACAAACCAAGCCTTAGGAATAATAAGGTCAGTTGAATTTTAAAATAGGGTCAAGCTCATAAGCTAGACTGACTATACAAAAACATTAGCCTCCATCAAAGGACATTCTTAATCTGTGACTGGCCAAATGTGAATAATTTACTAAACATGGTGAATAAAACGGGAAATAATTCAAAGGCGTAGATAAATACTAACTTCTTCCTTAAAATCTATATCTGGGCTAGGGAGATGACTCAAATGGGTGGGGATTTGTCAGGAGTGGTCCCTAAAGGAGGGGAAAAAGTGTGTGTGTGTGTGTGTGTGTGTGTGTTTGTGTGCTGTTAACACTCATGGATTCTCTTTGATTAGGGAGAGGTTCTTGCTCTAGAACCATTCTGTCGTTCTGTGTGTTTTCCTCCAATTTGCATTTAAGAGTACTTGTCACCAGGATATTTTTCAAATTAATGGTTTTGGAATGTTGATGCTCAATTGGATATCTGGCTGTTTTCAACAAAGCGATTTTATAGTATTCTTTTCTCAAACCTCTGTGCTCTTTACTGTGTGTCAATAAATGATGTGAAGGTTTTTGACACTAATCTTATGCTTTTAACAACTTCATTGCCCTACAAGTTAAACCACACATGGGTAACCATTGCCAGAAAAACCCTGTTTACTCATTAAAATAAAGTAATATGTGACCTCCATTTTTCAGTTAATGAGTAGCAACCTTATTGTAAGGTCTTCATATGTTACCATTTTGGACTGGGCCGTTTTCCTGGGTTGGTCTCTTCATTTGGAAATACTGTCTAAAACACATGCTGGGAAACAGAAATAAAACTCTTAAGATAATCCTCTAGAGTTAGATACAGAGAAGTGAGTACCAGTTGATGCTAACCTGATGGACTTCGAGGGGTTTCCATCCAAGCTTTAGCATGAATTTGTTAGACAAAGTTTCATTTACTCCTTTAAAAATCTTTTTCTGGACTAGTTTTTCTTTTGACTGTTCACGATGTTTAGGCATCTGGTGGGTTCTTGTTGTTGCTGTTATTTTTTTTAAGACCTGTAAGAAATTAAGTTCTTTTGTTCTTGGACCACACCCAAATGTGCTCAGGGTGTCTGCTCTATGCTCAGAGATCACTTCTGGTGGGGTTTGGGTGACCATATATGGTGCCAGGGATCAAACCCAGGTTGTCCATGTGCAAGGCAACATACTATCTTACCTACTGTACTATCTTTCCAGTTCCCCAAGTCCTTTTTTTAGTAGGTATTGATTGTTCCATGGAATTCTAAGTAGTGTTTATTGACTCTGCATGCTTTGTATGAGTTTTGTTTGAACTATGTTTTAAATCATTTGATATGTCCAGTTCTGTCATCTGTTTACTAATTGTGCTTTTGTGTATATGCTTGTGTGTGTGTGTGTGTGTGTGTGTGTGTGTGTGTGTGTGTTTCACGGTATTTCTCAAACTTCACTTCCCAGTCCTGTTCAGGGACATCAATCAAGAAATGAAATTTGTTTGGGGATATGGATGGGAGTGGGTTGGGGACTTCAGTGAGATCAACTCCGGGTATTTGCTTTAACATGATACTTAAGCAGTTCCTAACAGCATTTAGAGATTCCCTGGGATGGTGGTATACTTAAATTACTCTGATGGTCTTAGTGAGATTTGCATTCTTAATGCAGAGTTGGCTCTAAATTTAACCCATAATGTTAGTATCTTATTGATTCTAAGAAGATACTGAACAGAAGCAGTGTTTCAAATGTAGAATTTCTGGCAGGTGCTCCCTAAAATGCACATCTGTTTGTCACCTTAATGGGCTTTTTACACCATAGTGTTAGGAGTCATTTGTTTCTATAGCTTATCTCAGAAGTGGAAAGAAAGCTAGCTAGCTTTTGGACTAGTGAACAAGGGCAGTTGGATCATCCAATAATTTTTTTTTATTTATTCAATACACATATGAGACCCTCCTGTATATTTAGTAAATGATGATAAAGGTGCTAGAGCAAGCCTTAAATTTGAGGCTACACAGAGACCATAGAAAATCTAAATTTTTAGAAGAAGAAAAGCATGCCATTAGATGAGCAGAACTGTAACTGCTGATTAAAACACAATGGAATTTCTGCTTGCTCTAAAACCAGGGAAATCTTAGTTGATGGTCTTCTGATTTGGCTGTACCAAATTGCAAATATTCTTGCTGTGTTGTACCCAGTTACTTTATTCTAAACTTGAATGGGGGCGTGGGGGGTGGGGGGAGGGGTAGGAACTGTTGGGGTTGGGGAGGGAGGGGAGTGGGATGATAAGTCTTTTGAAGACGTCAGCTCACTGTGCTGAGAGAGGGACCAGTCTCAAGGAAACCTCTAATCTATAAATTCAACTGCTGCATTTTTTATGAATACATGTAAATGTACTATTGTAATATTTGATCTTGGAAATAAAAACAAAATCTTTTCAGTATTTTTGTGTTACTTTTTTTGTCATATAAAACTATATTACTTTGAGAACTGGAGGGGTTAAGGTGGTTGCCTTGCAGCCCACCAGCCCCACTTAAAGTCCCCAGTATCACATAGGATATGCCAAGCACAGCTGGAGGGGTCACTCCTGAGCAGAGAGCCTGGTATAATCCTTAAGTATTGTCAGGTGTAATCCCTTGTGTGTGTCCCCCCCCCCAAAAAAAAAACCCACAATTATTTCAGTAATACAACTCAAAATGCCTTTTCTCCTAGTTCTATCTTGTTACTTATTACATAGATTCATTTTGCCTAGGAACAGACCTGTGACTGGGGAAGTGAGAAAGGTACCTCAAAATAAAAGCTTGCCATAGTGCACTCATATTTGGGAGACAAGTATTTATTAACAAAGGTTTGTTTATTGTCCCATTCACAAGAGTACTTGCTCAATTGTCCTGGTAAGTGCTCTTTAAATGTTAGTATGTCAGTCATTGGACTAGCTAACTTTGTTAGATAAGTAAGATTCTGAGCCAGAGAGATAGTACAGAGCACTTGTCTTGCTTGTGGCTAACCCATGTTTGATCCCTGGTGCTACATGTTCTCCTAAACCCATTCAGGAGTAAACTGTGAGCATACTGAAGGGTGACTCAAAATTCCAGAGAAAAAAAAATCAAGACTTGTTTAGGAAACGGAGCATCTAGTTTTTAAGACCAGTAATAGATTAGTGACTAAGGACTCAGCGTAAACAAGTGAAGGAAAATACAATGAGAACAACCAGTATATATGACTATATTATGTTGTAGAAGTTAAGATTACTGTCAGATTTACACTAGTCCTAGTAATC